GATACCGCATTCGCTCTGTGAAGAGCAAAAAGCGGCTCGCGTTACTTGGTGCGTCAGAACTCTCGAAAGATTCAGAACGCAGGATCCTCAAATGCTGTATACAACATCGTATCAGGTGACGAATCCTGGATATACGTGTACGAACCCGAAACAAAAAACCAGTCACGAGTTTGGGTGTTCGAAAATGAGTTAAAGCCAACAAAAATTGTTCGTTCACGGAGTGTTGCAAAAAAAATGGTGGCCACGTTTGTCTCCAAAACCGGCCATGTTACGACTATTCTTCTTGAGGGACAAAGAACGGTTAATGCAGAATGGTATGCCAGCATTTGTTTGCCACAGGTCGTTTCTGAACTCCGTAAAGAGAACTGCAACCGCCGCATCATCCTCCATCACGACAATGCGAGTTCTCACACCGCACACAGAACAAAAGAGTTTTTAGAGCAAGAAAACATAGAATTATTAGACCATCCGCCGTACAGCCCCGACCTAAGCCCTAATGATTTCTATACTTTCCCTAAAATAAAGCATAAATTGCGTGGACAGAGATTTTCATAACGTGAAGAAGCTGTGGACGCCTACAAAACGGCCCTTTTGGAGACCCCAACTTTCGAATGGAATGGTTGCTTCAATGATTGGTTCCACCGTATGGAAAAATGTGTCAAATTTCGCGGAGAATACTTCGAAAAGTAAATACATTTTTAAATAGTAATGTTGTGTCACTTATTGGTTTGCTACTGAATGCGCAAACGACAACTGAAACGTAACCGCAAATTGTAGAAGTAGTGCAACATTTATTTTACGAAATACTTATATTATTTTTGTTTTAAAGTCGGAGGTTCTGATATAATCCTAGATGTAATATTTAGACATGTATGTTAGGTCATATATAATTTACGAGTATGTAAATTCATTGTCATGATAACTTATATATACTGAATGATCTTTTTTATCGTCTGGAAAAATAGGGTGTAAAAGGTGAATGGATTAGAAGACTATATTGGTAGATCATTTTCATAATATGTTAATGTAAAAGCAAAAAAAAAAAAAATATTAGCGTCATAGGCTTCTATTCCGATCACCTGTTACACCTTAATTTTTCCAGACGGCAAAAAACCATCTAATATATTAAAAAGACTCCGACGCACTCCCAGAAAGAAATTAAGTCTTGTCACCAAGTAATTCGAATGAATTTGATGAAAATTTTTATTCTTGATTCAAATATGTAGATTGTGGATACAGTCAATTTGTATATCTGTTTTTGTTTTAAATTGGAATGTCATATTTTAAAACAGTAACTGACTTGTAGTATTTTACAAATATCATTTGTAAAATATTCCATGTGCGGCCGAACCTGCGCCTTGTAAAGTTGCAGGCGGTGTGCCGGCATGAAATACTGTCCCGCTCTGCTGAGTTGATGTATGTTATCAACTAATTTAATTTTATTTTAGATTAAGAGTCATTTAATTCATTATTATCACTTCTAACGATAGCCCACTATCTAAATCTTGATTCTCCCCGTGAAATATTCAGTGCGTTGGGGAGTCGGCCTCGAGCCGGTGTTCGCATATTTTTGATAAAGTGTGGTGAGTGAACTTGCGTCATAATTTACTATGTACGAATTAAGTTACCTTTAGACTGCCTGAAAAATTAAGACAACCTACCTGCAAACAAACATTTTAGAAGAATGTTCGGGCTTATTTTATAAACTTGCATTATAACTGCTAAGCCCCGTCATCATTATAGTTGTAATCTTTGTATATTCGTTTCATCAGTATATTACATATCTGTATATTTTTATTTAATACCTTTGTAACCGCCTTCGTAGTTCTATCACTGCCCTAAGGTTGACTGGCAGAGAATGCTTTTAGCATTAAGTCCGCCTTTTGATCCTGTACTTAATGTAAGTTTCAATAAAGTATAATTAAATAAACAAATACATAAATTATAATTGACGACATAAATAAAGTTAATTAGGGCGTAATTAAGAATGAATAAGAATTAAGAAAATAAAAAGTAAATAGACAAATGAAAATGAGTCATTAATTAAAACCAAATAAAAAAGAAACTTAAAAAGAGATGGACAGTACAGCTATAGCTTATGCAGCTTTAGCAGCTATATGTCTTTTATTTAAAAAATTAAAATTACAAAGTTTTAATTTTTTAAATAAAAGCCACAGTTCTAATGAGGACATCCACTACTTTTTCTGCCACTAGGGTGGTGTCAATTTAGAATAAGGTGAAATGTTTGATAGTTAATGTTTATTTCTGCCATATTAGTTATATTTTATATTAATTGGATTAAAAATTAATAAATAAAACTACGGATATTCCTAAAAGATGAAAATTAAAAAAATAGTTATAAAAGTGAATATTAAGGAAACCACTAACGCATTGTTTTGTGTTATCACCATTATGACCAAAGCCTTCCACGAGTCCACTGCTGAACATAGGCTTCCCCCAAGGTATACCACAAAGCACTGTCCTAAGCTATCTGCAAGCATCGACTTCCTGCATATTTTACCAGCTCGTCACTCCATCTAGTGGTGTACGATCGAGTAGTCCCTTACACTTCGCTTACAGGTACTAGGCTGCAACTCGAGAACCTTTCTTCCCCATCGGTTGTCGGTTCTTCAAGCTATACGGCCGGCCTATTGCCAGATTAGTTTACTAACTCGTTGGGCTCTGTCGGTTACTCCGGTCTGACATAGCCTGTCCTTGCCCTCGCGAGGCGGGTATGTAAACTGCTTGCATTGCAAGCAGGTGACGTAGGCATTCGCAGCTTTAATACTAATTTGTAAATAGTATTTCGTAAGCTAACTCTCGTACCATTTTAAATCTTACTACATAATGTGATCAAGTAAAATTTGGTAAAACATTTTAAATTGTGAAAGATTGCGTCCGAAAGTATATAAACGATAAAATGTCAAATAAGTCAACTATCATATTCGTATTAGATAACGATTGATATGAATTTACAACGTATTAAGTAGTTATTGCAAGTGAAGCAATTAAACTTATCAAAAGAACCATATATACTCTTTAAAAATTGTTGTCATAAATTTCTTTGCGTTAAACAAGGTAATATGACATAATGAATTTTCTTTAAAATAATTTATCTACATAATATTATGTATATACTTTGAAAAGGTAAGTGTACTCACTTAGGTATATATTAACATCAATACTAAAACTAAAACACAATTTTAACACCTTTAATTATGGGGAACCCGTTTGGGTTGGAACCCTCTTATATATTTCATCTGCCAAAAACAGCAGTAAGATTATCAGTACAAAGTTAAAAACTGTGAGGAATTTTACGATAGTCCTCTCTATATTATTTGTTTTTCTTCTCTATATATTGCTTTAATGCTACCGATGTTAATGGAAATGGCTAGCATTAGTATAAAAGTAATATCCTCTCTGGATATATTATGCAAGAAAAACATCAAAGAAAAGTGCAGGTGGAGCCATCATTTAGAGATGGGAGCTTATATAGCTCATTTTAACCCAGGTTATTGGGCTAAAACGAATGAAAATTAATGTGGTAATTGTGAGTGCATTACTCTTGATAGTTTGTACTAGTCCAGTAGCGTGTAGAGCAAATCTGGCCCCGTTTCACTTTTATCCCACAAAGTAGCCTTATTAGGTATGTACCTGCTATAACGGTATGCAATGTAAATACGGACGCTTGGGCACTTGAGTAAAGAAACCGACCGTTTGAGCAATGTTGCCACATTGAATTAGCGTAGGCCTCTAGACTGCAATCAAAAAAGTCCCTAGTTATAAATGAATTTAGTAACAAAAAAAGTTCCCAAATGTCGCTAAATGTAATTTATTAAAAAAAAAACGCGAAACAAAGAAAAGTCGAACAATATACAACACGTAACATAATTAACGCACTTTGAGGAAGTAGTTTGTTCAGAATCTTTTACTGAATCAATTCCTATCATTTTTAATATAGGTAATTTTTTATCAAAAAATAATTAAAACTTCGTAAATTACAGTCACACTAAATCGTACAGTCAAAACAAACTGAAATGGACCGTAACTTAAGGCAATAAGACTTTTAAGAGTGCAGTTTTATTTGTATTATTACTAATTCTGTCATTCAGTAAAAATAAAGAAAAATGAACTTTATTTCAAGCACGTTAAACGTTCGTGGATTTATACTGTGACCACAACATTATTCCGAAAAACGACATCCAGAAAACCTTTGTTTCAGTTCCTTTAAATTTTATAACTTCTTTAACGGATAGAGTATAATAATATTCCTTACGCCTAAAGTAGTCAGATGGTAACAAAAATTGTAGTTAGTGCAAATGTCGCTAAAAGTAACCAGAATATTTTTTGTCGCTAAACATTGAATTAAACTCCCTAACTTAATAAAAAAACTCGTTAGATTTAGCAACAAAGTGGCTAAAGTGGCAACACTACGTTTGAGAAACCGATTGGGTGTCGTTTGAATGGTCTAAGGGTGTCGTAAACATCGGAATCGGTACGTGGCGGAATATATATTTCAATAATTTGCCAGCCATGAAATATCCAAGCGTGTAAACGCGTAACAAATTAAAAATAACAGGCATTATAATTAAAAATCTTTTATAATATTTTACAATTTATGATACTAACGAAAAACATTTTAATTTTTTAAAGTAATATATCATACGGGCATATATCATATCATTACGGTTTAACATAGATATCATTTACGGGTCAAAAGTATTCAAATTAGTAATTATTTTAGACCCAAAAAATGCAATTGATTCTTACTTTGTTAATATGTTTTAAGCAAACCGATATTTTTATGTTAAATAAATTTCAAAAAAATAAATATTTATCGTAAAAATAATTGAACTTTTATTTTTATTCTAACAATAACGGGAAGGTAAATATTTCGATGATATTTGTTGTCTTTCCATTGTTGAAATTTTTTTCTGATCTTATAAGATCGTTTTTCATGTTTCCATTTTCTTTTACAGGTATTTTAAAAATTTATGAAAATGGCGCAAGAAAACAGTAATTCCACAATGGAGATGGGGACTAGTGATCAGGTACGACATTGATTATATAAAGTCAAAATATTGGTGGATAAGAATACATCAAATTAATCATTAAAAACTTTTACTAATCTGCCTTATCCAGCATTTAATTATTATTATAAAAACACCTGAACCTACTGGTTCTTTTCCTCGCTTCGTATAATCTCCATGGATAGAATTTGACAAATTCATTTGTAATTGTCCAGCTGTGGTATTTGCCAGGTCAATTTATGTCTACGTTATTAATCTTAGTAATGATATCTAATTAGGCTTTTTATCAAGGACATGGGTTACAACGTTTAGTTAATACATATACGGATTTAGTTATAATACAGATGTTATAAAAAATTAACATATTTACGATCCTAGAAGAAAAATAAGATAAAAGAGCGTCGTTACCTCTGTGTACCAAGATGGAATACATTGCGAAGTTACGGTTCGCTTTAGAAGACAAAGCTTTAAATCTTAGCTTAAACCGGCGGATTATTTTTTTATCATTTCTTATGTATTAATGCTCTGACCATTTTTTAGTTTTTTAGTTTAGACTAGGCATTTTTTAGTTCCTCAACGGTAACTTAGAGTGAGAGGAATACGTATGCTGGAGAAAACTGTGATTGGACATGTCGGAGAGTGTTGGAAAACGCCAGCAAGCCTTCTTTGTCTGTCTATTGTCTATTGCTTGAATAAAAAACGTATTCCCCCTATTGTTGACGATCATTATAGAATCTATAACGATTCCGCTTGAAAGAATTTTTTCGACTATCCAGAAATAAAATAAAATGAAAATGATTTCTCATATTTACGCGAACTCTACATATTGATTTAAACTATTTTTACGGATTTTATCGCGTTTATTTATGTTACTTTTAATACCCGATGTTTCGGTACGCGTAGATCGGACCAAAGACAATAATTAAAAAGCTGAAGGTACTCCGGTTTAACTTTGACGTCGGGTCGTCAGTCACCTCTGTCTCCCGTGACCATGGGTGTTGGAAAGCACCCGAAACGTCGGGTATTAAAAATGACATAAATAAACGCCATAAAATCCGTAAAAGTAGTTTGAATCAATAAAATGAAAAATTAAATCTGAACAATCAACGACTTGTCGGTGGACGCTTGTTGTATCGCAAGTGATTTTACACATCAGTGTACCTACGCTTGCCAGCAGTAGTTACTCATCGATGCTCCACCCCGTCTTCCACCGACGTGCGCAGGTGTACACGCTTCTCTTGCACGCTAGTAAAATGGGCGCGTAGAACGTATAACCGTGTAAAGGCGGTGTGAGAATATCAACCAACCCATATCGTTCCGTGGGTGTCGTAAGAGGCGACAAAAGGGAACTAGACCAGGAGATGAAATGGATGGGCAGCGGCGTCTTCTTAATAATAACTTAAAAAAAGGTTGCCGTTTCCAACTCATCTACCAAGCCTGGAAACTATGGTAAATATCCTCGGGTAGGCCTATGGCCAACTGCGGACTGTAGCGTTAACGGTAGCGGATAACTTTACCAGACGTGTCCTTCTATTGGAGAGCTGTGAAATGAAATTTCGTAAGAAATTATAAATTAGATTTTCTAACATACTTTTTAAAACATACTGTATAACAGTTCTAAAAGAGAGATACAGAAGACCATTTCCACTATGGGCCTGTTTTTAGTATTTTAATGAGGATAAGAAGGAGGAATTAGTTTATTCTTAAAATGTAGGTTATTCCCCGTTTATCATCTTGTATACTGTATATATATTACTGCAATAGTAAACAAAATATATTGAATATGAATAGAATACCGTAATTTTTTTTATTACATTTTCAGTTTTATATTATGACCTTGAAATATTTATACATAACCTCTTCTGTAAAGAAAAAAAAAACTACAAAAACCTTTATACGTAAGCCACTTACAATCACTGAGTTGCATATTTTGATGGAAGTCTGTTACGAATACGTTGTGTTCAAGTATTTAAAGTAAAAGTTATAATATTATTTTTAAAATATTTTATTATTAGCTTAGTGTTTTACAATCATTTAAATAGTTTGAGTTTAGTGTACATGATCTTTGCGTTTTAATAGTGCTTTCACAAAAGTAGCGTAAAGTAGGTATACAAATAAAGAAGATACAATAGATAGAAATATCGAGTTCGAAAAAGAAGAAGGTCATCCATTTTCCTTATATTATCATTTTAATACATGTCAGACTCGATAATATTTAAATTCAATTTGATATACTTCACGTATGTTAATTACCATAGCATGTTATCAAGTTTATTTGTAATTCTTCTTGAATTGTCTAAGAATTCTTCTGACTAACATTTTGTCCTTTAAATGAACCATCATGTAGGTGAATGTAACGATTGTGAAGTAAAACGTGTCAGAAGTTGAGAATTATCTCAAGTACGAACATAACCTTGAGATTATTCAGTTGTTATTTAGATATAGATTAGAATGTATAGTTTATTTTATTTGTTGTGTGTCTGAGTCGATGTGAAATAGATTACATTTTCAATACGAAATTATCACTTACTAGTATTGTTAATGAGTTCTGTATAACTGAGTAGTTGAATACATAAATGAAAATAACACCTGGGCTATTATTTATTCTGTGACCTGGGAATGAGGTGGTTGCCACCATGTTGGTTTCCACATGTTCTATAAAAATTCATTCAAAAATTGTACAAAATAAATTTATTGTAAATTGAAATATGTTTAAAAAAATGTCCCGCTGGGTTTCTTGCTGGTTCTTCCCAGGACAGAGGTTATTTTTCGAACCAGTTATAAATAAATAAAAAGACTCAAAATATTATACAATAATCTATATTGAATAGAAATTATTTATTTCATTAGAGTGTACGTCAAAAAGTAAGTATTAGCCAGCGAACGATAACCTTTCGACATAACACTAAATCATTATTAGGGGAAAACATAAACACGTATATACAAAATGACATTTCTTTTAAGACTCTGACGGTAACAGTAATTTAATAAGCTCTACGTGCTACTTTGTAAATAAGTAATAAAATGTAAATTTTTATTAATGCGTTATATAATTATTAATAACTTAATCGTATTATTATAGTTAAAGTGATGTTTATTAGGTGTGATGGATTTCTAAGTGTTTTACTTTATAACTGTAGTCAGGCTTGTTCAATAAGGTACTGGTGGCGACCAAGAAGAAGAAGACCCTGACATTTATTATTGGTGCTATAGCAATGTTGGTCGCTATAGGAGTAGTGATAACTCTCGTAGTTGTTCTCTCGGGTAACGAAGGTGGAACAGCAGAACCCATTATAACAACAGAAGGACCTACTACCCCAATAACTACAACAACTACTACGTCAACATCAACAACAACAACGACAACAACAACAACAACTACTACAACAACTGAAGCACCTATCACGGAACCGCCGATAGACCAGATAGAACTAGAAGATATAATAAATGGAGTTTATGCAGCGCCTTCCTTCAACGGCACTTGGGTTTCAGGTATTGTTACTCATTCCTTTTCCATTTTAATCTATTCTGGTATTTATCAAGATTAGAGAGTAGTATCTTAAGAAGTAGGAAGAATAAGAATTAGGGTGGACCAATTTTAAAACAATAATAATATTGTACCGAAATAAGAATAAACTATCGCCCTATTTCGATCCAGTAGTGTCGCTTTCGACTGGTTTGGGTTTCAGTTTTAACAGGGCTCATCAATTGTTCAGTTGAAATCACATAAAAAGAAGACTGTCAGTAAAATTTTGTAAAATCTATTAAAGGCACAATAAACATTTAAAATTACACAACCCATTCTACTTATGAGAGGCTTTACTTAGGCCTAGCAATCTGGACTAAACTAGGTGTGTGAAGATATGGATGATTGATGATGCACGGCAATCGCCACTACAGGATATGTTATATACAACTGTTTAACTATAACAATGTAAAATTACTTGCAATTATATCGTTAGATCGACTCTATGCATTACTAAATTTTACCCACGACTAAATCCGCGTCGAATTTAAACAAAACAAAAACCTGCAGATCTTTAATTACTGTAATTGTATTTTGGACAACAGAATTTTTCTATTAGTCTTTAACCATTATCACTAAAAACGTGTGATAAAGGAAAAAGTTCTATATAAAAATTAAATATCTATTTATTTTATGTCGAAAAGGTCGTATCTTTTGTCCTGTAAAAAAACTAATAAAGTTTTTTAAAAGAAAAAAAAGGAATCTCTTTTAAGCTTTCTTCTCTAATTCTAAACGATCTTTTACAGGAAATGATGTACTCTTTCGAAATCAGTATGGAGACTTGGTCATGTACGATGTGGATACGGATAGCACTACTATCCTCATTTCCAATTCATCACAGGTAAGCAAATTCTTAAGAGATGTCAACTTTCTTTCCAAATGTTAACCTTACCGGTTACGGGTATATGATGAAGATAAGTTAGCGAATAGTCGTGGTTATCAGTTTGATTTGTCAATCCTAAACGGGCTTAAAAGCAAATTTTTTTTAATTTATTGTTGGCAAGATTGTATTCTTTCTTAGTGTCCATTTGGTTAGGTACGACCAACACATTTACCTATTTCTGCCGAAAAGGTCCTTACTCCATCTAGTTGTTAACTTAATACTACGTGTTGCTGTGTTTTCCAGTTATAGTTTGCTATTCGAAATCCTTTCTTTTCAATCGGTTGTCAGTTCTTCGAGCTAGCCCATTGCCAATTCATCGAATTCTTCATTTACAGTTTTTGCTATTTCAGCATTACCTAAGTTTGCCTTTGTACCAATTATTTTTAATGCAAAAAATAATCCCTACTCTATCTATGCAACTTTCTTGTTAAATTTCAACATGGAGGGCTTACTTTAGTAATAGCATATTATGAACTTAGGAGGAATTGGATTTAAAGATATTTTACACATCTGTTATGATTAATCATCATCGTTATCATTACAGTCTGTCACAAGTCTCCTTATTTAGATAAAGTCAAAGGTCAAAATAAAGCACGGCCCTTGACCATGTATCCATAGAAATCTTGTGGATTTCTTTACCTAAAAACCACTTCCCTCTATTTGCTACGCCATTCAGTTCGTGGTCTTGCTTGCTTTAGTGCGTACGATCTCTATATAGGATGGCCATAAAGAAATTCGACAATTTATTTTATAAAATTTACTAAGTATAAACACAAATTACAAGGTATTTTTCAAAAAACTTTCCTTAGGCTTGAAAATTACCTGCGGAATATAAAATATGTACAATGTCACCTCTACCAGCATGACAGATGTGAGCTCTTTTCATCGCGTTTATCACTACATTTTCACACACTTCCGGTTTTATCTCACTGGTTGTGTCTTAAATATTCTGTTTTGAGTATTGAAGATTTATCGGCGTCCGTTTAGATAGCTCCAAATAAAAAAGTCAGGAGCTATTAAATGCGGTGATCTTGGGGGCCAATCAATGTCACCATTTCTTGAAATTAATTTACCTGAAAACATTCTTCTCAATGTTTCGATTATTTCACTGAAGTGTTAAACGCTCCATATCGACTTTGCCGTATCTTGCTAGTAATAGCTACACAAAATATTTTTTACCGAACAACTTTCAAATTTGGCTCTAAAACAAAACATCGGCAAAAAAGTTGTATACTTCTACGTTGGCCACCCTGTACTTTATTCCTCAGACATGCAGGTTTCCTTACAATATTTTCCTGCAACACCGAGCACGTAGTAAATCAGCACTTAAAATTGCAGAAATATGAAAAATTTGAAAGTTGAAGAATGCGGATTAAGAATGGGTTAACCGTCAAATGCCTTTTGTACGCCGATGATTAAGTTATTTTTGCGTCGTCGGCGGCCGAGTTGCAAATGATAGTTACATGGTTACATGGAACAGATTATTAAAAGAAAGGGGTATGAAAGTTAACGCAAGTAGGACGAAAGTTATGGTTTTTGAAAGAGAAGAAAGTTAAACGATATGTGAAATAAGAATAGAAGAGCAGGTGATCGAGCAAGGAGATGAGTTTGTATATTTGGTATGCGTATTTAGCAGGGATATGATATATGATAAGAATATAGAACGACGAGTAAACGCAGGAAATAGAGTAAATGGGGCTCTACACTCTCCTGTGAAAAGTCAGAATGTGTCAAAAAAGGCACGTATGGCAATTCACAATGCTGTGTGTTGGTCCTTAATTTTAACGTATGGTAGTGAAAGTTTGGTGTGGCAGAAGAAGCACGAGAGTAGAATAAACGCAGTAGAAATGCGGTCGTTAAGGAGTATGTTAGGGTTGAATCTGAATGACAGGGTGAGAAATTGTGTGATAAGAGAAGAGTGTGGTGTGCAAGATGATGTTGTGACCAGCATTAAGAAGGGAATTCTTCGGTAGTTTGATCATATAGAAAGAATGAATGAGGAAAGAGTGACATAGAAAATTTATGTTGCAGAAGTGAACGGTAGAGTCGGAAAAGGACATCCTAGGCGAAATTTTATTGACCAAATTGACGATATATTGAAAACGGGCCAAATTAAAACTACCCTTAACCGACGAGCATGTATGCGTAGGTGAGCAGATGGATGTGGAGGAGGCGAGAGAAGTGTGTCAGGACCGTGCGAAATAGAAGTCTGTAGTCTCTGCCTACCCCTCTGAGTGACAGAAGTGGGTTTTTATGTTTATGTATGTATGTTTAAAATTGAAATTTGCATTTTTTTGGAGTCGTAGTAGGCCCAGCTGCTAAGCACTCGTTTTGCTATAAATTTCACAGTACACATTGTGGCATCGCAGATGATTGTTCCTTCTCTTAGAAACTCTTTCAGAATTGAGAACGGGGCTGCTACTACCCGTGGAGAATATATAGACTATCACTTCCCTTTAATTTCAAGTGTACTATTGGAAATTTCTTACCATGTTTTATTTAATTGCGTTGTAGATAGCTTTTGAACAATTTAATTAAATTTCCCAACTCAGTAAATTTTTGATTGAATTTATTGTTTCATTTCATTTGTTGTCGCTACTCGGCAAATCAAATTAACCACTGTAACCCTCAAGGCTCACTGTAAAGTAAACACTAAAGAAGTTGCAAGTTCTCACTACTACTACTGCTAAATTTTAATGGAGTTGCGAGATTTCTCTTCTTGATTTGATTTATTGAAGTTATATGAAAGTTTGATTAAATGATACTGTTGTGAAGTTATTTATCTAATAATTTAACTTTATTTTAAACATGATTACAATTAAAATAGCTGTAATTATTATTTTATATTATACAAAAAAAGTCTCCGGTTATCACTCACTATACGAAACATAGCAGCGTTATGCAGCTATTTTACTTCGGTATTCTATGAGAGCGTGATCCTTTCCCGTTCAGCTGACACATTCGTACTACAACTATAATATAGTTGCAGCCATGTATTTGCACAATTACATAGCATTTTCGTACGTGTCCGGCTTTTATTAATCGCCGACTTGTATTAAACGAAATCGGCTATACTATATATGTTAAAACAAAACTAGAGTAATTTACACAGCCCAACGGCAGACCATCCTGAGTAATTGTAGGCTCGTAAATAAACTGAAATAGCAATAGGGGCGCCATAAACTCGACGAATTGACAGCCGATGGAGTAGAAAGTTTTTAGTGGTATAGTACGACAGGGCGCGATCCATCACTGGTAAACTGACACGAAATCTATTGGATGCGGGTGGCTCTGAACCATATTTTCTCGTTTTACTCGAGAGGACCATGGTCAGCTGTGAGCTTGTGAAGAGCTTTGAACTGTGAAGATGGCGATAATGTAATCTATGTACATATAATATGTCTGCAAACTTATAAACTTTATCGATTTATGGACCTATTTTAATAATGAAAAAAAAACTGTATCATTATATACATTTGTTTATGTTCCAGATACTGCAGCAGTCTTTAAGAGTGACAGAATTGTCGCCAGACGGCAGCCATGTAGTGCTAGCTTATAATGTAGCCCCGGTGAGTGCATCTGACTTAATTAGGATCTGGAGTTTTCTTTGACCAATTCTTATTCGATTCAACTCTATGATTTCTAATATTCTAAGAAATTTAAAATGTGTATTTTTTATTTGCAATATGGTGATGGCTTAAGATAATTCGCCACACTGTACACCAATACTATATTATCTGGTAAGTTAATATACTGTGGCCTATAGATATTTACATATATCTTCGATTTGTAATCAAAACATAGTTGCGTTGTTACCCCTGAGATCTAAGACTAAATGTTTCTTTATTAGTAAAAAGGTTCTCTACAGTCATCATACGAATCAAGGCAGCATTAAGCTGCTGTTTGATGCAGTTCTTTGAGAGCGTGGTTTTTCCCCGGTAGAGCTGACCCATTTGCGCTGCAGACTTCATGTAGCCGCTGCGTGGCTATATCACATCTAATTAGTTTATGCTAGATATATTAAATCTCGACCTGCCTGAAATTCTCAAACGATGCCAAATGAATGAAATGTATTTGTGGATTGAAAGTTGTTTAGAGTTTTCGTATGGAGGATGAGTTTTTTTTGTCCTGAACTAATTAATAAGCTCTCGTTTGAGTTTATCTAAATTGGTTTATCTGATACATTTTAGGTAAAAATCAAAAGTGAAAAAAAGTAAGTACCAGAGTAGGAGTAGGTACGAAGGGTTTAACCAGGATTTATACGTGCGCCTAGCTAATGAGTTGTCACTCACACATTTTGAGACTATTCTAAAACTTAATTATTCTCTTGGAATTGGCTATTATCAACCTTTCATGTTAAATTAAACGCGGGTGCTGTTGACATATTTCGAATGACGGCGGCTTCGACCCTACTTCAACTTTGAATTATTGTTCTGTAGAATTTTCTGTATTCATATCAAAATAGCGTTGCTTAGCCGCGTCGTTATTTTATAAAAATACACTTTTCCTGTATTTTTGTACTTATATACAGAGGATATTTTATACCGTTAAAATCATCGAAAAAATTAAGAGTACCTCTAACAGACGAGTATGTATGAGTCTCAGGATCGTGCCAAATGGAAGTCCATAGGTTTTGGGGATCTATTTTATATTTTAAATAGACATTATTTAATAAAAGAACTACAAAATAGTGAAGCAAAATGAGAGTATTTGAATAATAATATTAAACTAACGAATGTGCTTACACTACACTTCAGGTGTCGGAAATAGAAATATAATTTTTTATTCAATATAGATTATAAATAGTATAATTTATTGAAATTCATGCGTATATTTATTTTTTTTTGGTTTGAAAAATACCTCTGTTCTGGAAAAAACCACAAATAAACCGAGTAGGGCATTTAAAAAAAGAACGCTTTAATCACATACGAGTATGTTTCATATAGTACGTTACACTATAAATTACATAAAACAAATTAGAAATAACTTGGTAGCGATCATCTCATTTCCAGGATTTATTGTCATCTATAAATTCCTCAATATTACAATATCCCTTTTTATATAATTTTCGTTTAATAATGTACTTTGGAGACAGACACTTTTGTATACTTTCTGTGATTTTGTTGTAAAGGCGTATATATTACCCTAATAATTAATTACTGACTCTGTGGAGTTAAGTAACAGGTACTACTAGCTGGCGTTTATTCCTATTTACAAAGTGAATAATTTTTTGAACGACTTATATTTTCAGATCATACATTTTACATTTTCAAATTTCTATGTTTTTTTATAGAATAGGGGTGACAATAGAGCACACAGTCCACCTGATGGTAAGTGGATGCTGTGGCCCATAAACATCTATATTTATCCTCGATTAAGAATCAAAATGCAGATGCGTTGTTACCCCTGAGGACTAAGATGGAATGCCTCGTTTCCAGTAAAAAGAGTCTACGGTTTTCAACCCTCACCATACGAAACACAGCAGTATTAAGCTATTATTGTATTGAGCGGCCAAAGTAAATATATTAATTTTCTTAAAGAGTTGTCTTAGAGATTCTTTAGGTTTTAAATCGTAGATTGTTCTCTTCCGGAAATCATAGTACAATATGGTTACTGGAATGGACACGTGAAACCAACGAAAATGGCCGGAAATGCGTTGTAATTCCTGAAAACTCAAAAGAAAAAAAGGTTTAGATTTATTTAAAGCTATAAACGTCAAGTTACTACCGGCACCAAATAAAAGAGCACTACATTTTTTATTTATTTAAAAAAATACTATGCTAGAGACGGCTATGGGTTTTAGATGATATATCTTACAGTCTGGTATACTGGCCCTAATGTTGCGAAAATCGGAACACAGAGTTGCACGTGGTGATTCTTAATGGATTCCAACGGCGTCATACTCGTAGTAGAGTACATGAGTATTTTTTAAAATTTATTTAATAATAATAATAATTTTTATTGGCGGAGAGACAGAGTAAATAAAAGTACTACGTGGCGGTAATTCTTGTCAGACATTTAAAGTTTAAATGCGTATAAGTTTACTTAAATATATTAAAACATGTGTATCAGTGAACCTTATATATTTTAAATAGAGGCTTATATTCGTGGAACGTTAATTTTAGAAGTGCAACGGAGTAAATGCTTAATAGTATACGTTGTTAGGTAGTCTGAGTAATTCTGGAACAGTATTCTTAGATTATGCAATTATTTCAGTCTGTGGAAACGTCATCAAGTTGTGACAATTACGCCTTCATACATCTCTGATATAACGTGTTATCAGTAAAATTTATTTGTATTAAAAGATGAAGACAGTGAAAGACAATACTATATCCTTATTTGAAACGAATCGTTAACAAGTATAGCCTATTACTTATAGCGGCAATACATGCGTCGGGCGATTTGCTCAGATTCCTGGTTCGAGCATCGAGTAGGGATATTTAGTTTTTATTATTGTTTTTTCCCTTTTCTTTTTATATTTAGTTTTTTTTATTGTTTTCTCCTTTTCCTTTTATAATTCGTATAATTTTAAGACGAATTTTATGGTCTCATGTACATAATAAAAGAACTAATAGTAAATTTTATGCTTCGTTGCTTATAATTTTATTTTGCAGTTAATGTGTAGATTTAGATTAAGTGCTTACTTAATTTAGTGCTAAGAGTACTGTAGATTATGCTTAAGAATTATCTAGTTGTTTGCTTTGTAGTGTCTTTATAGCCTTACATGTTTCTTATAAACATCTTACACATTCACACATTTGTTTCTTGTCTTACCCGGACTCCGCCCCCCATGGCTTGTGTATACCATGACAACGGAAATATTACAAATTTACAAAGAACAATAGGTACTAACTATGCCATATAAACAAGGAAAATGAATAGCACAATTTCTACACTTTATCCTTAATAAGGTTATTCCCCATCGTGTTGCTTATTGATTAAGTCTTATGGCGGCTTCTCACTGCGTGTGTTTTCACGCGCCCGCACCGCCCGTGTTGATTTGTACACGCAAGCACGATTCACGCGCGAGCACGCGCGAGCACGCGTGAGCATGCACCCCCCATTTTAACTGGCGCGGCACGGCGCGTGCTTGCCCAAACTTCAAGCCACTGACTCGTCTGTTGCGCAGCGCACCTGATGTCGTTTGAATCGAATTGTCACCTCCAGCCATGGAGCAATGCCACTGAAGAAGAAGGCATCGCTGTTGCTTCAGCCGCTTTTGTCTTATTTTGTGGATATCATTTACTTAATAAAATTAACAAAAAGAAGAAGAAAAAGCGCTGGTGGATGACATCGTTAAAATTAAAAAATTCAGCTATCGTTTCATTAGACCACTCCATATCTATATAGACATGAGAGTACCTCAACGTCGGACGAGTTAAGACGAAAATGAACGAGTTCAATCTTGTAGGCACACGCCGCGCCGCGTGCCCGCCCACTGATGCGCGAGCCCGCGCCGCGCCTTGAAGTTACCGATTTAAGTTACCGCCGCACCACGCAAAGCCATAGTATAACGGCGCCTCTACACGTTGGCCAACACAGTGGCGAATGTAGAGGCCAGTAGCATTGGCCAACGTGTAGACGGGGTGTTTGGGTTTTATGGGTATGTATTGGAACGATGGCCCGCAAGTTGGCGCGAGATCCGTGTGGTCTCGGTTTTTTACAAAAGATCAAAGGATTGTTGGCAGAGTTTGGTCGCCGCGTTGGCCGTTGGACGTTGGCCACGAGTTTAGTTTGCTACAAGCTCCCAAAGTGATTACACGCATCTGATTAAAATTTTATATTCACGCTTTGTAGGGTGGATGACCCAATTACCGCCCTTTTAGTGCCAATTTCAACTTTAAACATTCCTACTACTTTAATTAGCGCAATTTAATTATTTTTAAACATTTGTTTTAATCGATAAGCTATTTATAAAAAAATGAACATTTATTTACAATCACCGATTATTACGAGAAAAATTTTAAAAAGAAAAAAATAAAGCACGTCGTTTATACGTGGTAGAACCATGCAGTTATATTAGAAGTATAGTTGTAGCACGAATGGGTCGGTTTGACCGGGGAAGGACTACGCTTTCACAGAATATCAATGTAAAATAGTAGCTTAATGATGCTGTGTTTCATATAGTGAGTGTAGAGAACCAGAGATACTTTTTAAAGGAAACGAGGCATTTCATCTTAGTCCTCACGGGTGACAACGCATCTGCATTTTGATTCGTAATCGAGGATAGATGTAGATGTCTATGGGCCACAGCAACCACTTACCGTCAGGTGAACTGTGTGCTCGTTTGTCACCCTATCCTATATAAAAAAGTGTCGATTTCTTATAATTTAATCGTGCAAGTTTTCGAATCACCATCATCATTACAGTTCTTCAAAAGTCCACTACTGAACATCCTCCTCCAAAGAAAAAGCCGCAAAACATGGTCCTGAGCCACTTTCCTTGTCATGAGTTTTTCATTTATGTTCTAAGTTATAATTAGTACCTATTATTAAGTCAGTGTTAATTATATTTATTGCTATTGTTTTTGTCTTTCTCAAAAAATAATTAAATTACCAAATAAGGTGTT